CTCATGAAATTCTTTGTGGGAAGGAATACAAGATTATTGCCTATCGTTGGAAAGAGCTTTGGACACCATCTAAGTGATAGTACGATTTTTCCCAGTTCTAGCCTAATTTTGAGAGAGAGCACCCGTAGGGTGGATCCGAGAGCCTTCCACCCTTATTCGCCTATCACCAATCCACAGGAGGGGACTGCCGGCTCGTCATATATTTAGTGGGCCCTCATGCCACAAAGACACTATACATTTACCAATTAATATCCATGTCTTCTCTGGGATTCGAACCTGGGCTCTTCGGTACGGTAGTCGGACTAACCACTATCCCGTTTGGGCGGCTTTTGATTTATAATTTTAGGTTTACAGATTGGGTTTAAGAATACTTGTGTCTACAAAAAAAAGCGGAAGATAAAAGTTGAAATCGAACTTTGCTACATATTCGCTGAGGGAAGATTTTTCAAACGTGTAACTGAATAATAGCCAGTTTTCGTTAGAAAGTTTTCCATGAAGGTAACCCTTTTCTTAGGAAAATAGTCTAAATGTTTGTTTTACCATAATTTAATAAATTCAATCTACAATGTTTTAAGTACAGATAGGAGAAGAAAACAACATATTATGCTATTTACCAATTTTTTGTTTTAAAATTAATCAATAAAAACTTAGTATTAGAATTTAATGACAATTAGCAGATAAGAAGGACTTACATCTAAACAAAATATTCAATGGCTGTTTCAATTAGCGCATATCAAGAACACAAATTTTCTTTATTCCTATTACATTAAATAGTAGTTGTAAAAAGGTAAGGGAAATGTTTGTGCTTAACCTCTCTGCAAATTAAATAGAAATGAAAATATTGGCATGGCTACATGTTTACACAAATCTCCAGAAAGTGCCGAAATGTATACTTAAATAGGATGCTAGATAATTTGCATAAAGTTTTGCTGCTATTGGAAAACAATAATATATTGTTGGTTGAAGTCAGGGAATATAGTATTGTATCTTGCTGATCGAAGAGTAACTACTATAAAATTGAAAATGTTTCAGAAGAATACTGCCGTGGGATAGACGAGTTTAAATAGCAGTTAAGTCAATAATAATAAATAACAATAAATTTCAATAGCTTTCGTGTCATTTAATTAGAGATTTTGCACGTCATTATGCCTGATTAACTGAATTAATAGCTTTTAAAGGAATACAATATAACAATCAAACACAAAATGTATGTAATTATATCATTTTCATCATGATATCGTTAATTAAAATCAAAGAAATAGAAAGATTATAATGGTAAGAAAAACCGTAATATCTAAATACCTAGAGTACAAAAATAATATACCTAGAAATAATTTTATTTCAGTGTAACAATCTGTTCTTTATTCGAAAGTGTATACTAAGCTGAATGAACTTTATCCTGATTTGACATGGGTAATTGAGGTTTCATTGCACATTGTTTAACTTAAAATTTGCTATTATGAGACTTATAAGGTATGTAATGTTTAATTGATGAACAATAAAAATATATTCTCATCAAATCAAAATATTGATAATGCTCATGGTATTAAATCTGAATTCTTATTTAAAAACTATTAAATTTAGAATTCCAGGTTCTATCCATAGTATTGACAGGGGGGAAAAAAAGAGAAGTGTTTCCATAAGAAAAAAGTGTTTTTTTTTAAATTGGATCAGACCAATGACTTAGGGAACAAAAAAGAAAAACATTATATATTTTTGCCAACATGTCGATTAATCATCCTTCCTGAAGCGGGGCCCACCTGTGGCCGAGCGGTAACGTCGCTGAACACTGGTAGTTCGGTCCGAGGTTCAAATCCCGCGAACGGGCTGGCTGCATGGGAGTTTTCGTGGTTTTCCCCATGTGTAACGTGTATACGAGCCAGTTTCCCTTAAAAAAATCCTCCACGAATGCATCCCTCCCTTAAGGCAGATAGCCCTCAAGTGCTTTGCCGTAATCTAATAAAGCAAACCAAACCTTTTTGAAGCAGAAAAAGCTCATATATGGTACGAATTTATATGTAAATTTTTAACTTTGCAAATTTAATTTTCGAAACAATTTTAAAAATTCAGAAAGTACTCACATGTGCATGAATATAGACCAGGTTATTCAAACAGGGGGGATGTCTCCTGGGGGATTTCATAGTTTCAGGGGGGATGTACCAGCCTTTTATTCATTTTAAGTATTTAATTTTAGTTTATGAATATGAAAGGCCACTTTTGTTCAATTTCTGGTATCTATAAGCATTTTCTATATTTTTTGTTGCTTAATAAAGCTTATTAAAATAATTTAAAGCTAAGTAAATGTATGTATGTAATTGTGGAGTTTGGGTCAGGATGGGGGGATGATTTTCTAGCGATAGTGAAGGACAGCATGGGATAAAATAGGTTGAGAAACATTGATTTAGACAATCAAAACAAATTGGAATTTGGTTTAGTTTACGTATCACAGCTGCTTCCTGACTTCCATTAAACTATCGGATGAAATAATAAATAGCCTAGATTGTTAATTTTCTGCACAGCTCAGAATTTCTTTGCCAAAGTAGAAAATAAAAAATAAACAAATAAAATGAATGAGACAATTTAATTCTCTGGGAGGGGGATAGCTTAAGTAATTTTCTTGTTGCAATTAAAGGTAAAATGATGCAATGTAAAATATTTTTCATAAATTATTTCTAACCATATCTTCATACACAGGCTTCTTATGACAGTTTCAAATATACTTTCAACTATAACAACATCGCCATCAAAGTTGCAAGTTTATATAACAATAAAATCAGAAAAAAAAATTATTGACTCTTACTCACTTATATGAAATTGAATTATGTATTGATTAAATTCTCAACAAACTTCATAGAACACTGATTATAGCGGTGACTGTTGGGAAATTAACGACTTTTTTTTTTTTTTTTTTTTTTTTTTACTTAGGGTTAGAGAGATTCTTCGAGATCAGGAATCTTAAAATATCGACCTGCACCTGCCAGGAACTGAAACCGAAATTTTCCTCTTTGCTTGTTGTATACACTGATCAGTATACCATCGGAAAGAATGTTTTTAATTTACTTCAGAACAAACTAAATTAAAAATGTGAAGAAAGACTTTTATATCTAGTTTATTAGGCCCTTTATTTATTCTAACATTTAAGTATGGTTGCTTCTTAAATGAGGCACTTGAGTTATTAGTTATTCTCAAGAGAAGTACAATAACTATAATGTGAACTATGATGCTGTTATAATTTGACTAAATGGAATGGTCACTAAGAAAATATAAAACTCAAATCTTGATGTCATAAAAAATGTTGACTTGAAAAATTAAAACCTAAAGAAAGCTTGCTGAACAATGTGAAAATGTTGTAATTACTTTCTATGTTTTTTTAGGAAGACAGAAAGGATAGAACTAGCAAAAGTTTCACATTCGTTTCTGTATAAATGTTCACAATAATGAATGGCATACGCAACTATTAGCATTATCTTAGGAAATTTATAGAACTTACTTGTTTCTCCATCCTGCAAAGTTTTGCTATATCGCATAAAGTACAGTCTCTCTTCTCTCTGTTATGTACAACATATAGTATTTTGCCTTCTAAGAATTACATTTAATTTATTGAAATGAGCATTTTGGAAACATTGGTCGAGGCAGAAAAATTCGTCTTTATGGAACCCAAAAAAAGGGGGGCTCGAAATACGAAATATATCTGTAAAAATTCATGATTTACGTTCAGTTTTCTAATACTTTGTTTTAAATTCTTAATTGATAACTATAAGCCTTGCGTGTTATGGACCTAAATATAGTCCAATTTATTTAAATCTTTCTGATTATCAATGCATGGTTACCCAATTTTGTCCACAGTAAATTATGCATTATATTTAAGCATATCATCATAGATGTGCTTTTTCTATAATTCATGTAATCTTCAGCATAATTGAAGATATTGACAGAAGTATTATTTTCCATACTCGAATGTAAAATGAAAAATAGATTATGTCATTACATTGAAGCGTTTTAAGAAAGGTAACTTTTTGTACAGTAGGTAATTAAAAAGGACTCAATAAAAACAAACGAACATAATGTAATACAGAAACCAAATAGATGAGAAACGAAACAGGATATTATATATATATATATATATATATATATATATATATATATATATGTGTGTGTGTGTTGTGTGTGTGTGTTTATAATATCCGTTCTTCATTCTGTTATGTACAACATATAGTATTTTTTTCTCTAAGAATTACATTTAATTTACCGAAATGAGCATTTATTGAAATGAGCAGAAAATTTATTGAACGAGCAGAGAGAATTATTGAAATAATTTAATTTATTGAAATGAGCAGACAGCGGGGTAAATATGTGGATAATAGTAAGAAATATGCATTAAAATTTGTTACTAAGTTTTCAGTACACATATTACACAAGGGCAGAAATTTAATTAAGAGTAAGTTTACAATACTTACTTTAAGGCCTAGCTAGTCTGAGAAAGGTCATGGCAGTGCCTTTATGGAGCTTAAATAAGCACCCTGCCTACATAAGCATTTATTTATGCGAATATCATAAAGAATGAAAAAAAGTACAGAATTGTTCAGAAATGCAGATGAATGAGTTCGTCTGTAAAAAAAAAAAAAAAAAAAAAAAAAAAAAAAAAAAAAAGTGCATCTGTTATTACTTAAATTTCAGTACATCATGTTCTGACAATACAAAATCCGACACAAACTATCGACGCACTTCGACGTTCACTTCGTCTACTACAGGACACTGAAAAATGAAAAAATATTTTTCAAAAATTTATTCTGGATTATTATGTCAGTAGTTTTGTATTCGCAAAAATTTTCCTTATATACGTAGATGAAGTACAATAGCTTACAATGTTACTTTTAAGAATTCTGGTCACGGTACCTGAATATTCTAGTTTGACATATTGTAAAGAAGCAGTTTGTAGTATGTGCTTGAAATAGTATGTAAGATTATGCGAGCAATAAATTTATTTTCTCTTTTCTTAGAAGACAAACAGCCGAAGAGCGGGAAGCAGAGAGGCAGGCTGCGAATCGTTTGATGATGTCTTTACATGCAGAAGTCGTAAGCAAATCCATGTATGAACCAACGAGGGACCCTTTATGTTTGAGCAACGCATCGCTGCATGCACTCCAAAATCTTCAGCCTTGGTCTGCCGAGAACTCAGCGGCAGCTCACGCCGCGGCATCCCATCACCATCAGCAGTCGGAGAGACCGCCGTACCTACAGCCGCCAACTTCCTTGACAGCACCCATTTGTTGAAACAGACGTCGCCGGCTTTCTAAGCCTAACGTGGCTTCCTCTTACCTTAATAGACCACCTCATCTCTGATAAAATACGATTTTCTAGGCCATATGTGTGTGATAGCAAGCCTAAAATTAGGCTTGTTTCTAGTGATTCATTTCCACAATGATTGTTAATCACTTGTGAAAGAGCTTCACTGAAGAATAATCAGTTCAACTAAAGCGAAGTGAACTTTAATATATAAGATTATCTCAAATTGGTCGCACTCAGTTTAATTATGCATGAAATAGGTTTTTACATCACGAATGAGGATTCAAAAGCTAATATTTGTTCCAAATAATTCATTTCTAACTCTAGAAAGCATAATTTATTGAATGCATGAAGTATTTTTTGTTTGATTATATCATTATAATCAAATATTTAATATGAAGTTAATTATATAAATTTTTTCGTGAGAGCTGACTCATCATAGATTGTGTAGTCTTTTAAGTGTTCACACTTCAAGGAGGGTTAGATTAGTTTGGAGAGGTAAGTAATAAGTTTTTTACAACATATTAGAGGCAAACAATGAGAGAAATGCTACCTGGAGATGCATAGGATGTTCAGGCAACTGAAGTAAGTGAATATCTAATAAACTCAATGGCTATGGCAAATATAAACCTCATAATCTGAATTTCACAAACTTAATGCCATTTAACTCATGATCATGAACTCGAAACATGTTGTTAAAAGCTGCAATCAATATTCTTCTCTGTGGTTAAACTTTAGGATCTTACTGAATTGAGGTTTAGAGGACATGAACACCAGGAAACTTTATACCCCAGACTAAATGTTCTGGTTTTACTTGACTCTGATAGACCATGAATTGGCTTCTTATATTCTTAATAACTGCAGAATGGGAAAATGAAGCCTTATGTAAACCTTCGATTGCAACTGGCTTGCATTACACTTTCGCCAAGATTTTATTCGATATAGATGAGTATAATTTTATTTGATACTTATATCTTACATCAAAAAATATTTTAAATATTCTACTAAAGACTGGAAGAAAGTGTTTAAAATAAAATTTATTTCAATCTTCATTTGATGAAATATCTGCATAAATTATGAGTTATTTATGTTTGCAATACTACTAATAAAATAAATATGAATAACAAAATCCAGTTCCGAATACAAAAATCGTTTCGAAGAGGTAAGTAATTTGCTTCTAGAATTCCTGTCTTTAAATGTTCACTTTGTGTTTTGAAGAGTTATGCATAAGCATTTCGAGGTGCAAGTAAATAAATGAATAAATAAATATTTTTAAATTCCAAAATTATAAATTTAAATATTTTTTTAATTTCAGCCGTTGTTGAAAATTACACATTTTATACCTTTCTGTTACAACATTCTTCCAATCAATTTTAGCAAACGCTAAATGAATTCAGGGCTTATGTTTCGGTGAATATGAGTAAGTTTAACTTCCAATTGACGAAAAGTAAATTTTTAGAAATGTCATTTAACTCTTCAGAACAACAAATTATGGAGAAGAGAATGAAAAATTTTCATTTATTCATTATTGGTCGATACCTAGAGGATTCTGGAGGTGAGTTTTATGTGCATGTGACAGGCCCATATATTTACTCTTATTTTTAATATACTTAAATTTGCTTTTTTAAATTTTAAAGCAAAAATTTTCAGAGTCATTCTATCAGTCTTTTAACAAAGCATTTTACAATTTTCAACTTTTATTATTGAAAAATAAGTTTAAAAATATATTAGTTTGTTGCAGATTTATATTTAACAACAGAAGAGTAAATATTTAGTTAATTGCTCCACCCCCCGATGAAAACCCTTATTTCTAATTACTGGTTCTTTAACGCTTAGTTGTGCAGTCGAGTTTCCACAAATTCTAAGATTTTACATTTGTAGAATGTTATCAATTTACGGATAATTCACCTGAATTAAAATTGGAATACTGTAACAAACCGTTTTAATCCAGGCAACTGTATGAAAATTCGGAAAGTTGGCAAAAACTTTGATTTAGTTATATCGAAATCAGCGTTAATAGTTCTTCTAAACTAAGATAACATTGGTAATAATGACATCAGTATTGCAATACCACTCTTTCGTCTTTATTTTCTCTTTTCTGCTTCTTGTCTTTCTTTCAGGCAAACCTTTTCTTTGGAAAATCTTTAGCATTTCCCAAAACATGCTTTGCTTGAAAGATGTTATTGATAAACGGCAGTTCATTGTTAAACAATAAAAGTTTATATTAACTAGGATTTATAGATGAAATGGGATAAATTTTACTCTTCTGGTGTTAAAAGTATCAACATAACATGTAATACAAGCAATATCCCTTTCATATTTTTCAACTAATTCAAATGTAAAGAATTTGAAAAATGTTTATTGGTATAGCGCTTGTAAATATTTTCAATTTGGCTTGTGGTAATCCGATGATACTATGTTACTATAGTAATAGCCTTTATTTTCTATTTATAATTTTATGCTGTACATGAATCTATGTAGCAGTGATGGATTACAAAGCTGCCTAAATTCTAAATATCTCTGGACCTTGACGGTTTCAGCCTCTTAATTTTTTTTACAATGAATACTTAGAGATTTTATTACAGTGCATGTAAAAATGAGTTAAAATGCATAAGTATAATGTGCCATAACAGTTGTATATAGCTACTTCTGTGTCAAAGTAAAAGCGTCCACTTAATTTATTTCTTCTTAGTGTGTTTATTTCTTTTTTACTCATTTTCATAAAGTGACTTTTAAATGGCTCTATTGATAGTATTTTGAAAAAAGCTTTCACTTCCTTTCCCTCGTAAATTTGACATTAAAATTTAGTGCCCAGAAAGTAAACTGTATAAAATTAGTTTCCGATTTTTCTCATTTTAGTGTAATGGAAAGCAAATTCAGGTTCAAGAAAGAAGTATCATCAGGTTAACTTGATTGAAAATGAGTAAGAAATACCATTATCATGCCTGTGAAAAGCATTTATTTGTTTGAAAGTACATTATTCAAACTTATTTTCATATTGAAACCTATGTTCTTTCTCTGGTGAAATTTAAACAGCAGTTTTACATTTATTCTGACAGGGTGCACAAAAATGCCCAGGCACCAAAGCAGGGCATTACCTTAAATAAAATTAAATAGGAAAAATTTCAAAAATAAAAATAGAAACTTTCATTAATTAGGAGATCATATAAAAATTTCTTTACAGCTCGTAGCTATAACGTTAAGCTTCAATACTGGATGAAATACATGTAAAGCTGCTGGAAATGTGTTATTTTACAAATGTGACGCTAAGTTCATTATTTTGTACATATTCATTGTAAATAAATCATAGTGAATGTCAGCGTGTAAGGTAAAAAGCGTCCACACATAGTTGACTGTTTTAATAAAAGAAGCCTGTGTGTTCGCAGTGACTTGTGTGATTGTACATAGAGAAGAATGTGTCAAATTTTGCTTCCATGGGCTTCAGAATGAAGGATTTCAACATGCTCCTACAAATGATTGCCAATAAAAATATAATTTGTAAAATCGAAAGCAATGCTTCTTTCATTGACTGAGATGCATAATCCATTATATATGAAATAGCTAGGCTGACGAAAATTCTTTGAAATTAAAGACTAGAGAGTTATTTCCTAAACAGTATGACATATTGAATTTATATCTTGAAAAAAAAAATATTTTATGCTAAAGTAAAGTTGATTGCATGTGATCACACCATGTGTGCTTCTCAAACTTTGCTTACCAAAAAAGTTGGTCTTTCAATATACTTTGTCATAAAGCTCATCACATTTCAACCTACAGGTTTGTCTTACAATTTCATTTTCAGTACTTAAAAATGGACTCTAATTTATAACCTTATAGAAAACATTTATTTAACAAGACTATACATAAATGTACAATAAGGCATTTTTTAATTTTTATAGGAAATGTAATATAATATATATAAATAAAGAAGAAGAAAATGTACCCAAGACAAATTTTAAACACTGTTTACTAACGCAATGGCTATTATCAAGTGACCTAGTCTTTTGTGAATCATCATGTCGTAATCTATTGAAGCATTTAGCACCTACGAGACATTCTTACAGCGCTAGTTTCATGTCAGCACTATCATTAGATTCTCCAATACGAAGTTACTAAAAACCAGTTTATGAACACTTTCCCCCCTTTTTACTTGAAGATAATGGTACTCCTAGCTATTATAAAGGCGGAAAAGTTGCAGAACTTAAGAACCTTTGAAATGCGAAAGTTGCAGACATATGAAGAGAAATCTTTAACATTTATATCATCAATATATCAAAGATCAAGAAAATAAAACTGTTGCTCTGCTAATCGAAGTTTAAGCTATTTGGTGTCGAAATCATTTCTGCTGCTGCTGTGGGCGTTACATTTCCGTTTAAGATATGGAATTTTCTCAAAACTAATGTGCTCAAAAGGAGTACTAATTGAAATGCAAGCAATGTTCGCAATCCAGTCCCTCACAGTAATTACCGGCGCGCCTTTCTTTCATTGCACTTACTGTTAACGTATTAAAACTGGGCGTTGTTCTCAAAATCGACGTTAAAGCAGAAAAGTTTTAAATTGGAATAACAAATCTAAAAATGAACTACAAAAATAAGATGAATTAAGAGGATAACGCAAATGGGAAGTAAAAATTAGCCTGGAAAAATTTCTTAAAAATTCGCAGCAAAACTCTTTACCTGGTAACGTCGCTGAGACGAATGCTGTAGTTTGAATACATGCAGGCTACTTTGCAAACTAGTCTTTCGTACCGAAGTAAATTTATTGTTTATTGTCTCTAAGCTGAGTATTTATGTATTATAGTGTCGACCGTGAAACTGTTGCCAAGCAAAGAGATTTAGCGCAAGTTATGGATAAGCATGACGCAACAACACATTCTTCACATCTGCGCTTTGTTTGATGGCCGTACTTTAACCCGATTGATTTTCCATAAACCACCTTTTCTTTTTAAGAACAAAGATATAAATTAACTGTTATTATTAACTGTCCGCACTTTTTTCTTTCAGTTTGAAAAAAATGTGATTAAAATTTGCTATCTATAGAACAGCAAGACGTGGACTGTTTTCAAAGTTTTGTGATATTAATGTTAAAATAATGTGCGTTAATGGACACGATATAGTCAGCTGAATATAGCTTACCAAACAATAATAGATTGGGACAATTTTGCTTCTACTAAACACGTTTGAAACAGTTTTTACTTTCACCAGACTTAGTTTATACACTTTTTTTTTTCAATTTTAGTTTTTCTTGGCATATACCTCTAAAAAATAATAAGGTTCAAATATCCATCAATTTTCGTAGAATAATATTTTGTAGTGAATGATTTATTTTCCTTTGAATACATATTTCAGGAGGGAATATCATGCATGTTAAATATGAAGCATTTCGATGTTTCTCATGAAAAATCTTTTGCTCGCAGATTATATCATATTTATGAAATGCTTGGGCTAAGAGTTCAATGATTTTTCTTACAGCTGTACTCTTTGTACCAATAAGCAGGAATGGTTTTCTCAACAAAATAGTTTAACATATAACATTTCTAATTTGTACTCATATTTTTCATTTGCGCCAAACTGAGCTTCCAATAAAATCGAAGAACCTAGCAAAATAGTAGAAATAGATAAAAGCCTTCTTACGAAGTTCAAAATCGAAGCGGGTCGAATACTGATCGTTTATTGAATAAAGCGGCTCTAGTTCCTTCAGAAATCTGCAGGAATGATTGGGGCGACTTTGGAGGGATCTCCAACAATTTTCATAATTTTATGGCAATCAACGATCGACGGGATAATACGTAAGTACCGTAAAGTTGTACTGTAGTTTAATGCAATGAGGCATAGCAAAATTACAGTTTTGTTCCACACTAAAACTTAATTTATGAGTACATTTTTGCTACTTTTGAATTCTTCTACTCAGCTCTTTCGGATAGGCTTTCAAAAGGTTAATTAAAAAATTTTAAGTTAATAAAAATATTAACAGTGCCTGAAATAGGATGCCTTAGCTGAAGAATGTAATATTATCTATACTATATAAACTACCATTACTAAGTAGGTAACCAACATTTTTTTTAAACTAACCCTTTTTTTAATACATTTGTTTTCTTTCTCGTGTAAATATACGTAGAAAATGATTCTTAAATGTAAGATATGCATATCGAGTGGCTTTCGATAATATATATAATATCAAATAGCAAACATAAAAGAAATGCATTAAAGCATATTAATTTAGTTAAATCCTTCATAGCTGAATATATTCATATGATGGTCAGAAATACTGAAATAACACTGTCAACTTCGAGGAATGCATTATCAGAGATTCTTGGAGCGTTTCAGCCGCAGGATTGGGCACAGGTGCCAGCCAGCGATTAAATTCTTAAATATTTGCTAACGAATCCTACCCTCCATGCTCAATTTAATTATACCCTCCAAACACGAGGCCATACACTTTCAGAGTGAAATTTTCAGGTGCACAGATGTGAGCGAAATACGACACATAACAGGGAGAATCCATCAGGCGAGTCTAAATGCGCGAGGAGAATACTGCATCAGTGTAAAATGAGCTCACTGCTCTCGAGGAATTGTGTGTGAGTTAAATACAGACTTTATTTATCTACAGATGTTAATTTATACTTAATCTTCCTAAGTGCGAAAGCCAGATTAGATCCCGTTTACAATTTACTCCGTCAGCTGAATTACCTATAAGTATTAATCAGGAACTCGAGCGTTCCTGCATTAATTAACCTTTTAGCCTCTCGAATGCACTCATTAATATTCTGCGTTATATCGCTGCCAGAGTTATTCGACCTCTAAACGGACCAGAGATCGGCACAGTTCCTGGGAGGGAGAACCAAACTAATGAGATTTTCATTTTCCTGAGCGCTACTTAATTACTTTACAGTTGTATTAGTATTTAATTATCTTCCTTTTGCTAATTAGTTCAGTCAACACATTCCGTAATTACTTGGCGCAATAATATGAGAAATTATTAAATGCAGATTTCGGCTGTGTTAAGAATTCAAATCCGTAAACTAAATGCTTAATCTAACAAAAGAGATAAGATTATAGTTTACTCTAATCATTCGATGTGTTTCCCTTCAATCTGATTCACTCTGCATTTCAGAACAAATAGGTTATGAATGTGAATTTTTTTCTTTTACTTAACATATTTCGAAGCGTTTTTATTTACACCGAACTTATCGAGTAGTTTCTCTATATTATATATTTTTACTGCAATTTCAGATCTTTACTTGCTCATATACCTTTAAAATATAATAATGTTAAAATATTCATCAGTTTTCGTGGAATAATATTTTATTCCAATTATTTATACAATAAAGCTGATACTCTGGAGATCGTTTCACTGTAACTGGTACATTTTTATGCGAGTAGATCTATATAGATACATGATAGAGTAAATATACATGGGGTTTAAATTTACTAACATATTGAAATATCTGGTTCTTGTAATGTTAGGATATTTGTTGCAGTTTATATTGTAACTGAACTCAGATCTTTCAGTCCATAGTCCACAGTTCATAAGCGAAGTTCAGAAATATGGAGATTACGGATGTTACTCGGAGTCAGCTGTTGGGGTGTAGCCTAGTCATTGCTCTTTCCACTTTTTCATTTTCGGTCCTAAGATGGAATTTGTCATTGGTCCAGTCCCAGAACGAGTCCCAGTTGAGTTTTTTGTGTATTTTTTATGATTCCTGTATAAAAGTGGCGATAAAATCTTTGCATAAGTGAAGATTGCCTGATCTTATCAGTTTATTATTTGATGGGATATGTATTTTCAGTTAGGTTTTTTTTAATGGCTTTTAATATCCCTCACTTGTTTCTTTCACCCAAAGCTCAATAAATGAAGAAAATAATTAAAATGAAAAATTAGAATTTTTTTTATTTATATATTCTAAGTAATATTTCAAACACTGCATTTAAGTTTAGTGCATAAGTCCTAACGTATGCTATAGATACATTTACCTAACGTATGCTATAGAGACGAATACTTTTTTAGGAAGAGGAAAACATGAAAAATCAGCAGGAGACTACAAGGTTAGTTTTTCGAAGCGGGAAGCGTAAAAAATCGAAACGTCCTTCACCCAGAACTGAAACTGAGACTTTTGATTTTCTAGTTGGATGCACTAATCACTATAATATAGAAATATATAGAGGTGTATTTTTAATTTTTTTTACTTCTCTCCATTTAAAGCAAGGTTGGAAGACAAAAGCGAGAGTCAGTCAGCTAAATCATATATGGCGACGAGTAATCTTCATCTCCCCAAATTTTAGTTCGGTTGCGACTATACAGATCAAGAGTTCTCAACCTTTCTTGCTCATGCACCAATTTCATCATTGCAAGACTATTATTCCCTCAATCCCCATTCCCAAAATCGAAAAATACATATGCATTTATTTAAATTTAGATTATTTTTAATTTGTTTTATAAATTAAACAAGTAGAGAAAATGCTTATAAATACCGACACTTGAATAAAAGAAATGTTGATACTTAC